CGAGGGCACCGTCGCAATCGGACCAACCTCCCTCATACCCCCCTGGGTGCCAGAGTTCGCTCCCAGGGTGCCAGAGTTCGCTCCCAGGGTGCCAGAGGTCGCTCCCAAGCCGCTAGAGTTCGCTCCCAGGGTGCCAGAGGTCGCTCCCAAGCCGCTAGAGTTCGCTCCTAACTCGGCTTGGGCCCGCTCCAAAGTCGAGCGCCCGGGGGCATTGCCTTCTGCTGCCGGCGGACTCTCACTCTGCGGGCTCCCCTGCAGAAGGGGACTACCTTGCGTCAGGGCACTTGCTTGCATCAGTGGACTATCCTGTCTCGGGGGACTATCCTGTCTGCAGGAAGTTTCCTGCCGGGAACGACTGGGGGGTAGGTCTTTCAATACTTCTGGTGGACACGGTCTCGTTTTCGCTGGAAGCACGGCCTCCTTCGGTGTCTTCCGCTCTCTAGTTTCAACTTCACACTCTACACTATTAGCCCCACTGGGGGCGGTCGTGGCGCTCACATCCGCGTCCGGGACCGCTTCTATGCCCTCAGCTGCTTGCTGAGTTGTTTCGTGAGCAGCTTCTTGTATGACTTGCTTCACCTGAGCCGCGGCATTCTCGTTAGCTGCGCTGGGCTCCGCAGTAACATTCGTAGTAGCCTCCGCTGCAGCCTCCGGCGCGACAGTAGTGTTATCGGTCCCAGCGGTCTGTTGGGTTACGGCAGTCTCCTGCGGTACGGCAGTCTCCTGCGGTACGGCAGTCTCCTGCGGTACGGCTGTCTCCTGCGGTACGGCTGTCTCCTGCGGTACGGCAGTCTCCTGCGGTACAGCAGTCACCGGTGGGTGGTCTTTACTTGGTTCTTTGTTGAGTTCCTTGCTGCCTTTCTTGGTGACCTCTTTTGGTTCTACACCCTTGGTCTTTTGTGCCTCGGAGAAAAAGTCGTAGAGGGCGGAAATCTCGGCGTTGGATGGAAAGTTGATGAGCTGCCAATCCAGTGCTTTGCGAGCAGTGACTGCCACGCGTCTGACTGACTTGGAGGTGGGGTCCAGGAGAGCGGCGGTGGAGCTAGATTGCTTTTCGACCTCGCTCGCAGGGACGACGACTGGCGCAGTGGCGGGTCCGCCGGGTGTGGGTAGTGTTGGAGCGGTGGGCAGTGCTGCCGTGGTCGGCAAGGCAGTGGGGCGGTCATCCGATTTGCGTCTAAGCTCTGTCCATGTTCGCTTCAAGTCTGTTCGCATGATTAGCGTATTGGGTGGGACGATAAGGTGGCAGAGCGGTCCGAGGTCGCAGGTGAGGGCGATAGGTTGTCTGGCTTCCTTTGCACGTTGATAGCAAGAAGCGTGGAACGCCCTACGGCACCAAAGGCACTCGAGACCGAACAATGAAAAGGAAGAAGTACATACGACACCGCACAAGGCACAGATCGCGCTATTATCCAGGTTCCCTTCTCGGAACTGATGGGTCAGACGCCCGGGTGCCTTGCAACTGATCCGTTCACATACCAGCAGACAACTCAGGTGCGAATACACTCGACAACACTGACACTCGTACCCCATGTTACGAAACAGTAGAAAGCCACTTATCAATTGCCGACAGCCATTACAGTAACGTGGCTGCGGACTATAACTAAACGGCTTCCACAAATGAATTTTGTGGAAGCCCGTATGGAAACCTCGATTATACTCGTGCACATGAATCCGCCAACCGATCAATAGACCGAGAAATGTTAAAACTAGGACTGGTGCCACAATCTACAAAACATCGCCACTTCATATCAAGCTTTCGACGACTGATGACGTCAACTCAGGGACGCTTCTGGACCCTGTGTTGCCTCTGGAACGAGTGTCGCCTCTGGTATGTGACCATCTCGTACTGGAATTGTGTCCTGCAGGATTCTTCGAACAGGTATATACGCTAGCCAATAGGTTTCATAATCGTCCAGAAAAGAAGACATTTATATATGGAACAAAAGGGTCGGGACTATCTAAGACCGGGGCTGGATCGAGACTGTAAACTATTGAAGCAGAGGGGGACTATCGGGCAGCCCTAGTCGTTGACGCATTTGCCAGTTATAGTTAACTTCATCTGGTCCGCGCCTTCGAATATGCTCGCGCCATCCTAAAATAACCAAACAAGTATTGCCCCCTGCTGCAGTCGTGGCGCCCTGCTGCAGTCGTGGCCCCCTGTTGCAGTCGTGGCCCCCTGTTGCAGTCGTGGCCCCCTGCTGCAGTCGTGGCCCGCATGATGCCTGCAGCTATATGGGAATGCGGGCGTACCTTCGGTCCGAAATAACTTGTTTAGTTCTTTTTGCCGTGTTTCTTCACCAATCCTCCGGAACTCCTCTTCCGTCATCCGGTTGGAGACCAAAACCGTTCCTTCAGGGTAAAGGGACGCTTCCTCGTCGTCTCCGGGAAGGTTCTCCGCAGCTAGAGCGCGCAGTCGCTCGCTCAGCAGCCGGATTCCGTACAGGGAAAGGCCAATGACGGGAATTACAAGGTAGGGGTAGAGAGCTACGCATAGCAGCTTAACTAAAGACAGTTGCGGGTGTCCTGAGTACGTGGTAGGTGTAGGAAATATGCTAGTTACTTTGTATAAATAGGTCGGGTATGGAGAGGGCGACAATGGTGGTTATGCCGACTAGGAGGGTGCGTCTTGTCATTTGGCCGTTAAAAAATGCCGCTGGCTTTGGCCGTGTTGTGGCTGTATGGCACGGCCTCGCAAACCCTGGTGGCGAAGTACATGATTGCCGTGCCAGACGCGTCAGCCGCGGACGATCGCCACACTGCATTATATATGGCGCTACTTTGGAACACCGCAAAACTCGTATGGGCCTTGGTCTTATGGGCGGCGCCGAAGATAAAGGATCGTACTTGCACGTACGTACGACGGACCAAGGCACTCACCTCGACCCACCCGGACGCCCCCGAGTGTTTCGTCTGCGACGGCCGGCTCTACCACGAAATCAAAGTTATCGACGGCCAAGCGGCGAACGGCGAGGAGGGAAAACAACCTGGAAAACACGCGGCGGTCCTGACCGCCAGTGGCACAATCATGCCCGTCAGTGGGCACGTGCTGGTCGGCGGCATTGTGACCAGTGGGATCTCTCTTCCGGATGAGGCATCCCATCTGGAGGCATCCCATCTGGAGGCATCCCGTCTGGAGGCATCCCGTCCGGAGGCATCCCATCTGGAGGCATCCCACCTGGAGGCGTCCCGTCTGGGGGCGTCGCATCTGGGGGCACCGGATGAGCTGTCTCCCGGTGGCGCATCTCGGAAGCAAACGTCAATGGATGCAGCCTCAAGACCAGGCTCCAGGAAGATACGATCCACCAATTCGCTGCGATCCATTCGCGAAGACAGGACCGAGCCGCCGTCCATTCAGCCGAATGTCGACCCGGTAGACCCCGGAGGCTACAACGCCAACGGCTGCAATACTGCAGGTTGCAGCAGCGCAGAAGGGTCGTTTTCGGACGAGACTGACAAGGCTTCGGCGAAGTGTTTTTCCGAACTCTCACTCGAGAGCCACAACGGACCTGTCCGTCAGGTTCGGATCCAAATTAGTCGGCGAAAGTCGACGCCTAGTTCCTACGCGCCGCACCCAGACCACGCCCTGCAAGTTACTTGGGGCTCCTTTCTCAGTCCCACCGGCAGCGTTTGCGGCGGAGGCAGCGAAGCGGTGAGAAACCGCGATTCAAAGCCAGGGTCCTCTTTTCGGACCCCGGAAAGGCGAAAACTAGAGTATCCCGGTGTCGTGACGCCTGAGATTCGACAGCGGGCACTGAGGCACCCGTTCGCGCACGTGTTTAACAACTGCGATCACTTTGGCGTAATTGTTAATGCGCGCGCACACGTGTGTGCGAGCGAGCGCGCGCACCAGTGCGCTTGCGGTTCGAGGCCGGCGACAGCGCCAGCGGCCGGCGAGGGTCCGGATATAGCGCAGCCGTCTGCGCAGAACAAGTGGTCGTTCAGGCCGCGAACTTCTGGGCCGAGTGAGACTTCTGGCGAAGCCCGCGGGAGTCTCGCACTGCAAAAAGATTCGTGCGCGGCCTCGCACAACACGTCCACGGCTGCTCAATGTCTTGCGGAGATGCCAGAGACGGTCAGTGAAGACAATTGGCTTCGACAATTGCGCATCAGGCTATTCGGGGCCTGCTTCGACCCGCGGCGTTTCACCCAGGATTGGGAAAAGCGGACCGAAGACGCCAGTTTCAGCGACGCTCCCTCTTGCTTCAGCGACCCGCAACAGCAACCCTACCCCTACAACGCTTACCCCCACAATGCTTACCCTTACGATGCGTATCCGCCTCCGCCGAGTCGCTCCCTGGGATTGGCGTATCCCTCTGCGGACTACTACGGTCGTAGCCAGAATCGCTTTAGTGGCCGGCTCGGCACTGGACAGTTTGCAGAAACCCCCGCTTGCGGCGCAGTCAGCTGCTCGGTCCCAGCATGCGGGGTACCCGCCTGTGGCTACGTCGGCGTGCCTGGGTATCCAGAACGGCTTGATCGTCAACCTAGCCAGGTCCGACCGGTGAGCAACGTGGGTGCCCACGCAACCAATGTCTATTCCACCAAGCCGTGTCGCGTGAACCGCCCCAGTAAGCCGGAGAGACCGAGACGCCCGAGCAACCTGGGTTGGCAGCCTGAGACAGAGCGGTCTCAGTTGGCTACCGGGAATATTGCGGCCGTCAGTGGCGACAGCCAGGCGGCGGGGCGCGGCGGACGACGGTATGAGTCGCTGAGTAATAGGTTGACCAAATCTTTTAAGGAGATGTCGAGGAATATGAAAGGGAGGATGGCACCGAAGACTACGTCAGAGCGTCCTATGTGGGGTGATCCGTCACGGGCTGACTCCAGCTGGTTGGCTCCCGCGAGCGCCGTGGCAACTCGTCACAAGACTCGGGAGCAGGTGGTAATTCCTGACTGGTTGTTGTGGTCATTTTCTGGTGTGCTGGAGTTTACTGGAATGATCTTGACGTTCCGAGCGCTGGAGGGTACGTATGCGTCAAAGTGCACGACGCATAAGCATTGGTTGATAGTGTTGATCGGAACGTTGCAGATGCTTACGGATCATGAGACGTACGTCTTTTCAGTGGTTGGCCTCGCCTTAGTGTTGATCGGTCTGATAACGAGTTTGATTACCGGTCTGACGATGGAACCGAAAGTTCGAGTATACGGAGAGAATCACAGTGGGGCTGTGTTTGCACTGGCTGCGGGAATTTGTTCGTCGGTCCAGATTTGTTTCCACGAATTGTTATTGAGCGTTCGACCAACACGTGTGGCTGGACTATTTTGGGAGAGTCTGGCAAGCATTTATGTTGCGGTGGGTCTCCTTCCGATTTTGAAGGAGACGGGTGTGATTGACCTGGAGTTAGGTCTGAGGAATGTGCGTCGTTCGATTATTTGGATCTTAGTTTTTTTCGGTTCCGCTACGATCAGCATTTGTGTGAATCGGTGCAATAGGAAATGGTCGAGTTCGTTCACTCGGTCTTTGATCTTCGTTCTACAGTTACCTGTTGTATATGTATGCGAAGTTTTTGTGCTCAAATGGCGCCCACCAGGAGTCCTGGACTTTGTCATCATGTTCGCATTCCTCTTAGGATTCGCTGTTAGCACCACATGCATTCCCTATCAGTATGTTAGTCATTCGCTGAACGACTTTATGTTCCGAACCGTATTCGTGCGCCACACGGGGTCCTGCGATTGCGCTCATAGTTCGGAACCATCCTTTGCGCAATGTCCAGCCAATGTCTAGTCCAGCCGTCCAGGTTGACACCGAGCCCAGCCAGGCTCTGGACCACCCGGCGCATGCAAGTGGTACCCGTAACACAAGTGGTGGTGGCGGTGGTGGTGTCTTTAACACAAGTGGTGGTGGTGGTTATCCCCCGCCCCTCGGGGTTGTCTCAAAATGTTCCATCGAAGCTTTAGAAAAAATATACCCGGCATTGTTTAGTAGTGTGGGCTGGGTGTGATGTGGAGTCTTCCGTCCCTCCAGGCGGATTGAATATTGGATTGCAGGTTGTCTTGATTAATGCATTGGTTGAAATTTGCGAGCTGGGCGGTTTTAACGAGCTCCTCAATTTCGCAGAGGCTGGGTGCTTGTCGTTGTGCTAGCGAATTAATCTGGCGGGACAAGTTTTCGGCGGCAGCGATGTCTTGTGCACTCATAAGTTCCTGAGGGACCGGAACTTCAACGAATCGCGGTGCGTAGATTGGTATTTCAACTCTGGTGGGTTTTGCTTTGAGTTTTGGTAGTAGGAATTCGTAGGTGGTGGTTGCCTCTAGAGGAATGGGTACATTGCGATCTATGTCCTGTGGGACTTCGACGTCTACGTAATGGGGTACGGGTTTCTCTACGTACTGCGGGACTGTTACCTCGCGATATTCTACTTTCTCGATATAGTTCGGTACCTCCACCACCTTTTCTACGGGCACTTCCACGTACTCGATGTCAGGTATTTCCACGATCTTATCGCGGTAGACCGTCCGCGGGACTTCCACCACCTTCTCTCGCACCTCATGGCGCGGCACCTTCTTAATCACCTCCTGAACAATCACTTCCGGGACATGTACAATCTTTTCCCGATACTCGATCTTCGGCACCTCCACGTACTTTTCAGTCACCACGGGCCGCGCCACCTCCACAATACGCTCCTGCACCGTCTGCGTCTCCTCCACAACCTCCTCCACAACCACCTTCTCAGGGACAACCACCACCTTCTCTACTATTTCTTCACGAACCACTTTCTTCGGCACTTTAATCTCATGCTCTACAACTCGCTCACTAATAATAGACTGCTGCGATACTAAAGGAGCGCCAGAGCCCTGGGTCTGATATGTTCCAGGCCTGAAATAAATGAAGTCACCGTGTCACAGTGCTGAACACTCTGGGCCAATCACACTGTGCGCGCTCTTGTGCGCACACACTAGCAAGCACACCCCCAGCAAGCACACGACCCCACTTCCACTGTCTCCTAAATCCTTACCTTATGGCTGAAAGCTCGCGAGAGTACATAGACATCGTCGAAAAAATAATAAAGGATTTTTCGGCGTCACGCGTGTGTGGGGACACCTCTCTGTATCCAAAAAAGTCGTCTCCTCATTAGCCCAACCCTACCATCAGTAACGCTGATCTCTGATTGCTCGCTGAAGGCAAAGATCGAGCGGTTTTTTGCCTCCATTTGCGAGAATTTCCTGGGATAAATATTCGGACCGAACAAGTCAGGTCTGACCAACAATAGGTGAGAGTCAACGAAGAAGCTAGTCGAGACGAAGCTCGTCGCCGCGCAAGGTTGTCGACAGCGGATTCCAGACTGAGTCATCTAATTCATCGAACTAACCAAAGCTTGACCAAAGCCAAGCCGGAAGGATCTTGCTTGCTCATGAAGCCAGCCAGGATCTTGCTTGCTCATGAAGCCAGCCAGGATCTTGCTTGCTCATGAAGCCAGCCAGGATCTTGCTTGGTTCTAAAGCCAAGCGGAAGGATCTTGCTTGCTGAGTGGTGTATAGGACATTGATGTAGAAATTGCATTGTCTTGCTCCTTCTTGTCGTATACATAATAGAAGACATAAAATGCACCTAGGGCAAATATAACCGCAGACGGTCCCCACACACTAATGGATGAATTAAATGCCAGGCCAACCGAACTGGTTAAGATCATAAATAATCCCTTGCCGGCTGCAACACTTAGGAAAGGCATCCATTTGAATACCATTTGACGCCATTCCTCAAACTTCTCGGATTCAACCGATTTGAGTTCATTCAAGGCGATAATCAAGCCAAACATACTAGAGAAACCATATGACAGGAGAGTGGTCGAAGTGTGTGTGTGTGTGTGTGGCAGTACATTACGTAGCTCCTGAGAAGGAGACTGGGGGTGTCCAAGAGTATATTCTTCATGTGATTCCTCAAGCAATCATAGAGAGTTCCAGCTGCAAGAGCGACGCCAGCGGCAGCACTCGCCACCCTCATAAACGAGGGCCCCTCCAGAACCTGGTAGACCTTCTCGAGTCCCTGTTGGAACCGATTCTCACCTGGTGTCTTCGTTTGATTCGAATCTGCCATTGTAGGCCATTGTGTGTAGGCCGCCATTGTAGGTCATTATGTGTGTGCGTCATTGTGTGTGCGTGCAGGAGATGAGGTTAGTCATTGGTGTGTAGTGCTTACAAGTATGTTCGCGATCGATAGAGTCATACATGTTGGCTTCCGGGGAATAAAAACGTTTTTTATGCATACATGGACCAGTGGTAAGTACAAGTGCCAGTAGTAGACTTTCTGTGTTGTAGCTCATAGAGGTTATGGTACAGTAGGCCGCGGGATATGGAGGAGTAGATACAGTATTGACTGGAGAAACCACGTGAACGAGAATCCGGAGTTGGCCAAGGCAGAGGAGTTTTTGCGCAATCACTGGAGCACGAATTATCTCTTACAGAAAAGCTTGGCCCTGGATCGCCTGACTCTACAACCGTTCTTGTGGCTGGATAAGTTCATAGTTAACCCAGGTCTGCAGCTGGCAAGAACAACTATGACTGGGCTTTCCGATTCAACCAC